GCAGCCAATTAGTTGAAAGGGAGTGTCCTTGGGGGTGTGACCTGCATCCAGCATAGGTGGACTTTCTGGCAAACTCTCTGGCTTTTGCTTGCTCTGGATCCTACAGCTGGCTCCTGTTCATCTGACCTCCAGTTCTTGGATCTTGAGCTAGCAGCTTACCTGCTGCTCCCAGGATTCATCAGCCTCCACAGCCTGTGAGCCAGCAGCTTACTTTCTTACCTGCTCATCTTGGGATTTGTCAACCTCTGCAGCCTGTGAGCCAGAGTCCTGCTGTCTTACCTGCCAAGCTTGGATTTGTGAGTCAAGAGAAGCCTCCAGCCTGACCCATGGATTTGGGACTTTCCAGCCTCTACAACTGCCTGAGCCATTTCCTTGATATAAATCTCTCTGTATATTTATATGCTTCCTGGTTTTGTGTCTCTAGAGAACCCAGCCTAAGACACCAACAAAGGACAGCTAAGACATTTTATATTAAAAATCACATAAAGATGAAATTGTTTAGCTAGGCAGGGAGGGGAAGCGATCTGGGAAGTATATGATAGTTCTTTAAAAAATATTTGAGGGTCACCATATGGAAAAGTGACTTTAGTTATCTCTATCTCTATTGAGAGCCAAATTGCCTTTAAGAGTAAGGATTATAATTTTTTTTTTCCTAATTCCAGTAGTGATACTAATTGGTTACTGCCCTCAAGGAGCTCATATTCTAGTTGAAGAAATGGATAAGTAAATCAACATGTATAGTCCAGTATGACAAATGCTGAGGTAGAGGCATTTTTTAAGTGCAATGTAGCAGAGAGAAGTCAGCTACATCAAAAAAGGGCATGGAGGTTTGTAATGAACTTCTCAGGAAACTTATGTTTGAATGAGTTGAAATTAGAAGGGTGATTAGGAGTTTGATGGATTAAAAAAGTCTTGGACTTATATTTTAGGCAAGTGGAAATGTATAAGATAATATATGACATATACCAATGTGATGAACAGTCTGTAATTTTAATTTTGTGGTCGGTTGTTTGGATTGGTACCTTTATTTAGTTTTTTCTGTACTTAAGCTCTAGGTTAGCAGGGACCTTGTCTGCTTTGTTCACCTCTGTATCCCGAGATAAATACCTGCCGAATAAATAAATGAATGAAAGCTGGTCCATACGAATGTTAAGAATTGAATCTCGCTAGATATACTGGAGCCTTAGTGGTGCAGTGGTTAACAGCTCAGCTGCTAACCAAAAGGTTGGCAGTTCGAATCTACCAGTCACTCCTTGGAAACCCAATGGGGCAGTTCTACTCTGTCCTGTGGGGTTGCTATGAGTCAGAATCAACTCGACAGCAACGAGTTCAGATTTTTAGGTATATTGGCACAACATTATGGCAGCAACTAATACATGACATGCAAAGGAATTTGAACTTTGTTTCCTGAAAGATATGGAAAAGTTTAAGCATGCTAGTGCTTAAACATGTAACCAAATATTTTCAATATAACGCATAAATTTAAAGAATTTTATTTTTATATGCCTTAGGAATGGACCAGATAAAATATTTTGTCTTTTGTGACCAGATAGTCCTTCTGAATGGGGAATTTTTGAGTAAATGAAAAAGAAATGTATGGAATGTCAAAGGTACAGAAGCAGGGAAGCACAAAATATTTTTGAGGAGGAATGACTGAAACCTTTTACCTCTGAGGGGTGGCTTAAGGACATTAGCCAACAAGACAGAAAAATATATATATATATAGAGAGAGTGGCTTTATCATTAACTGAGTAATCTGTAAATATTCACTTAACCTCCTTTGGCTTAGTTTCCTCTTTGTAAAATAAAACTTTGAAGGTACATCAATCCTTTGATTGTTCTAGTTCTAAGTAGTTTTACCTCTAAAAATAATAATAAGTATACCTGAAAAGACTGACTCAGAAAATCAGTGGAGGACACTAAAAATCAGGCTTTTTACCTTGATCTTCACTTAATGGGGTTTAAAGCTTCATTTAAAAAAAAAAAAGTTTTACTGTATCTTTAATTTTATTTGTCTCATAAATTAATTTATGTCCATTATTGCATATATAAAAAATATAATAAGCAAAAATTTAAGAATCAAAGGTCATCTAAAATCCCAAGTCTGAGAGATAACTCTGGCATTTAACCTTTATGATAGATGAATGAGTATGTTTACTGAAAACGTTGGACTTACATAAAATATTAACCCACTTTTTTCACTTCGTACATGATAAACATTCTTTCACAGCAATACATTCTTTTCTTCTGTGTCATTCCTAATGGAAGCATAGCGTTCCTTTTTATGGTTGTATCATTATGGAACTAATCCTCCTTGTTCTACATCCAGGTTGTTTTTTGTGCCTATTGTTGACTAACACTGTTGGAGGACTGGAAAAGATAGTATTGTCTGAATCTGAAAACCTGGACAGTGTTTCTTTGGAAGGGGATATGATGAGATACATTTTGGATGGATTGGTTTGAAGTAACAACACAACATCCACATCTAAAAAGTCTTAAAGTCTCTTGGGAATCTGAATTTAGAGGATGAGTTTAGGATTTGGGAGGAATTAACTTTGTGGTAAGAGCCGAAATTTGTGATGTTGGGGGTTTCCTGAGCAAGGGTTCAGAGACGGAACAGGCCTTTAAACCTCAAAAAAGGACGTGTAAGTCAGGGTGTGGGTATGTTGTGAGGCTGAACAGGCCAGGTTGTTGGAGCACCTCGCTGTGGCAAAAAGCCACAAAGGTAAAACAAAAATAGCCCTGTGTGCTCAGTATGAAGAAAGACTGCCTATTGCAAGTGAAGATTTTAGCTGATTTCCATACACACACATATACATATACATTGGTAGCTAGCATTTTTGTCAATAAAAGAAAAAAAATTCTAGAAGAAGCTGTACTTCTCATTGGAAAGAGTTCTCTTTGTGTGTATTTATTTCTTGTCATTTGTTTGATTTGCTTGTTGTGGTTTGTTGTTTTTGTTAGTATTAAAGCTTAAGGAAAATCTTACGAAGTTTGTCCATATCATTTCCTAAGTATTAGGGTAGAAACCTTCATTAGATTTTCAGAGCAATGCTTAGTTTGTTTAAAACTACACAAATTAAGAAATGCTAGTTGAACTACAAATATATATCTGCCTTCTCCCTCCTTGGGTTTTTGCCTAATGCTGCATATAGTTACAGTTATGAACAAACTAAAATTCAGCTCTAAAACTGAAGGAAAGTAGGTCTTTCAACACAAAACCATAAAATGAGAAGAAAGCCTATTGTGTCATTCCAAATATGGGGCTACGTGTATTTCTGCTGTTGGCATTAGGCAGAAGGTTGCCCGATATTGTTTGTAAGATTCTTCAAATAGGAAAGGTACGTCTTTATTTTTCCGAGTATCAATCAGCCCCTGCTGCTAGGAAATTCTTCCTTAATCTAAGCTAAAGCTTGCTTGATTCAATTTAAATCATGATTACACCGAGCAAACAAAATATCATCAAGGGTGGTTTCTCTTCCACACCCATAGCTGTACATACCCACATAAACACACCCCCTCCCACACACAGGCACTTCAAATTATCAGGTCTCAGATTATCCCCCATTTCCTTACCTTATACATTATAGCCTTTGTTTTTGCTGATAATTCTTTTAATTGTATGTTAATCCTGTGTGAGGACTGGAGAAATTATGTTCACAGCAGTACTGACCAATATTCAGAAATGTGCCCCGAAGCCCAGAATACCCCTTGCAGAAGGTGTTTGCCATAGCTGAAGCCTGGACACTATCAGGCACTTTTTTGCAGGTACCAGAAACACATTAGTCTTTCAATTGACAGATTTGATGCCTTTATACATATTAAGTGAACTTTGCTTTGCCTTATAAATGGCAGAAGGCCAGAAATAATTTCTATGCAAGTCATGACAATCTTTATCTACATATGACACACTCCTGTAAAATGAGAGTTCTGCTCAAATAACTTTTCTTTTGACTGATGATTCACAAGAGAAAGGATTTCTTACTTTTGAATTAACTAGCCCTGTCCATTCAGTAACCACTTTGGCTGAAAAAATTCATCCTTTTTATATTTTTCAGTATTATTTGTTTTTCAGAGATAAACAAAGAGATGGAGGGAGGGAAGAAGAGAGAGAACGAGACAGGGAGAGAGAAAAGAAAGGAGGGAGGGGAAGATCTTTACAAACAAAGGCCCGATGAGAGCTTTAATAACATTTAGCAAGCACCTACTATGCTTCTGTGCGCTGTGCACTTTGCATGAGTGTTTTCATTTAATCTTTCCAGTAATCCTGTTAGCATCATTACAGTAATCATTTAAGAAAGGGAAATGTACATGTAGTTTTGAGTGCAGTTGAAGATTTTGACATTAACTGTTTGGTACCTGGTTGGTTCCTTAAAAAAAAAAAGACTTCCCTCATGTACATGAGTACACTACCCACTTTCCAAATTAGATATCCCCCTGTCGTTTATAATCTCATGCATTTTCCAATATCTCCATGAGGTAGAAATTAGGCAATGAGTATTCCTGCTGCTATACTGAGAACTGCCAAGGAGAAAAAACATGGACATGTCAAGTGGCTTTCCTTAGATCGTATATAAACAGTAGTGAGATTACTGGAAATTGAATTTAGGCCTCCTGACTTGCCATTGCCCATATCTCTGAGCACTAAAGACATTTCCACAAATTAAGTACAAAGGGTTAATGGGAACTGGGAGGTAAATTCTAAAATTATTTCCTTTTGTGTTTGAATTTCAGTATGTTTTAAACAGGGCTTTTTGTTGGTTTATTTAATTGATTTTACTTCTGTTAATGCTCTCCATACTGTTGTTTAGATCAGAAAAGGATGATATGATATGAATTTGATTCACTGCTAACTGACTTTTTGCCAGGTTTCATCATTGTAAACAGACCGATTTAATCTATATTGATTCAAGTGCTGTGTTGAAGTGATTTTTGTAAGAGATTATATGGACAAATCAGATGTGATGCAGGAGCAATTGTTGGTTGTTTGTCTTTTGCAGTCACAATATGGAGCTTCAGTTTCTGCCAAGCCTGAACTACCCCTCTTTTGCACTCCTATTGATCTGGTGGACATTAGTGTGGAAATGGCTGGATTGAAGTTTACAAATCCTTTCGGTCTTGCTAGTGCAACTCCAGCTACCAGCGCATCAATGATTCGAAGAGCATTCGAAGCTGGATGGGGTTTTGCTGTGACCAAAACTTTTGCCCTTGATAAGGTAAGAAAACATTTTTAAAGTCATGTTTACATGTCTATAATGCATTTTGATTAGGGAATACATATTATGCTGGAAAGATATTTCTGACCAAGAAATAGTAGCTATTAAACTATTTGACTAGACAGATTGGAGAGACAGACAAGCACTTTATACACAAAAGGGCTGTTGAGATCTTTAGTAACACTTAGCAAGCACCTACTATGGTTCAGAGGGCCATGTACTTTGCATAAGTGTTTTCATTGGATCCTCCCAATAATCCTGTCAGATAGCACCATTACAGCAATTATTTTAAAAAAGTAAATAAATTTACAGTTTCGTGTGTTAGTTGAAGATTTTGAGATTAACTAATCAGTACCTGTTTGCTTCCTGAAAAAGTCACTCCCCTCATGCACTTGAGTACAGTATTCACACATTAGTTTTTCCTTTCCTTCTATTCCTTCTGTCCCATGGCAAGAGAGGAGCATATATTTCTCATTGTATATTGTGTAGGGAGTATCAAAAATATACATATCACAACCCCATGAATTGTTATTTTGACATTATTCCTTGTTTTGTGATTTCTGGATGTGTGTGAATGAAGACACTTGCTTGAACTCAAAGTTAGACAGTGGATTTGTTTTGCACTAATTCTGTGATCTAACTCATGTCAAAAGGAATCTTTCAGTGTAATTCATTGGTGCTGGTTATAAATAAGATTCTTCTTGCATTTTTGAACGCAGAAACTTTCTCCAAAATATATATACCCTGGAATTCATGTGGCATTATGACTTTGTACTCATACCAGAAGTGGCCATACTTAGTAGAAAATGAAGTCTATATTAAAGTTGAGATTCATTCTTTAAAGTACACAAAGCATATACAAAATATTTTCAAAGAAACAAATGCATGTTTTCAAAGTAAAAGATTACATTCTTAAATGGTTTTGAATTAGAAAAGAACAGCAGAATTTAGCATTCTTAGACCCTTTATTGATAAAATTTTAAATGCTAAACCTATTGATGTATTTAGTACTAACTGGTAGTTAGTAATAATTAATGCATAAGAATGTGTGAATCTAGTGACTAAGAAAAGGGTATCATTATTTAAATCAACCTTATCCTTAGGCAAAGAAAATAATAGAGAACAAACATGCCCCATTAAGCACATTCTTTCTTTCTTTCTCCGGTTACCAGGATCAATAGCTGGCATTATTATGACTAAAACATTACAGCTGTCTTATTCCGACAGCTTTACAAGATGCTACATGTTAAGAGTGGTCAAGAAAATCTAGAGAATCCTCATGAGTTTAAAAACCAGTGCATAAAAAAAAGTCAGATTTTTAAATAGTCAAGTAAAGGAAAGTTATTTTTTTTCCAAATAATTAGGCTGAAAATTGGAAAAAAAAAAAAAAAACTTCCATTAAACAAAGTGAAAAAATGAATAGAGTATACTGGTTTTGGCTTTAGAATACCATGAGTCAATTGTTTACAACCTGTGTAGAATATTGATAATATATTTCTCTTTGTTTCAATTTATCCTTTAAGAATTGCTGTGAAGCTGTAATCAGATGGTTCATCGTTGGGGGAAAACTGAGTGTTAGATAGCATTTAATGACTATATATTTGTTATTCTATTTTTAAAATTTATATGCCAATAGTTTTAGGTGGCTAAAGCAGTACCCGTGAAGAATTGTAGCCAGAAAATAAGTGTTTGCTTTGAATTTACTGTTTCCTTGCTTGTAAAAATTGAATTCTGATTAATCAGAGACGTCTGTCTTTACTCTGTTGGTGACATGCATTGATTTGTGACGCTGTCTCTTTCAGCAACCTAGGAGCAGTTGCTTTTATTAGGATCACCAGCAGAAAGAAATGTGGAAGCTAACTTCTCTTCCTTCTAAACCTCTAATCTGAATTTAATCTATCAATTCAGAAGTCTGTGATGCTAGTTCAAAAGGAGGGTTATGAACAAATGCAAATTAAATTTGGCACATGAAACATAATGATGGGGGGGAGGTTAGGACCCTATTTTACTTTCTTTGATGGTGGGTAGGACAAAATCTTTGTGCAGAGACTATTTTAAACATATTTGTGCAGACTGTAATGACAAAAATAATGATGCCACCTTGGGCTTATAGAATGTCATTTTCAAAGGAGATTTTTCCTCATACAAGATTTAGCAAAATATTCAGTTTGCATCTCCTTTTTGTTTTGTTTTGCTTTCTTATATTGTCCCTAATTTGTGATTGAGTCTGTTGTGAATATATAAGTGTGTCTTAGGAGCCGTGTGCTTTCTTATTGATGAAATGCTGTAGTATACAACTCAGTAATATGAGCACACATTGTTGAGTTTTCCCACAACCTTTTATTAAAAACATTATATGTGCTATATATCTGTGTGACATTATAGCACACAAATTTAGATTAGCCTTATTATAATTTATTATGCCAATTCAAAAAGCTACTTAAAATGTACCTTTAAATTCAGAATCTTGACATTTGAAATTTGGATGTTCTTAATATGACGAAGGTTATTCTATGGAGTTTTGTTATCAGATGAAATACTAATATTTCAAAATACAGTTTTGATGAAGTACAATTTGCCGAGCCTGCATATGATAAAGAAATTAAATGCTTACCAAGGGAGTTCAGTAAAAATTAGAGCCCTGCCTGAACATCTGCTGGAAATTTTATTAGCCTGTCCTACTGACAGTGTGGCTCCCTCGTTGTTTTTCTAGATTGACAGCTGAATATTGCACTGATTTCTGCAGCAAATATGTTTAGGTGAACTTTGTTTCCCTTTTTTTTTTCATTTTTTTGGGAGTTCAGAACATTCTTTTGATTTTCATCCTATATTTTTTTATACTCTTGACATTTGTAGATGCCAGATTGAGGTCTAATACGCTGTAGCAACGATAGACCATTGACTTACAGTGAAATGCCAGTTGATATCTCAGTAAACAGAAATATTATTATTCTTTACTGTGCAGTTGGTATAAAAGTTGCACGTGCTTTCTTCAGAGAGGCAAATGATCAGGTTTTTAATGTCAAATATAAAAAGATCTGTGTTTGCTTCTGGGTTAAATTAACATCAAAGATGGATTTTATTAACTATTTTCTTCCTCCCAAAATCAGTCTTTCCAAGAATGTCCCAAAATACGTAGATTGTGTTTCTTGAGATTATGTTTATGTTTTATCAAAATGATAAAATAATGTTTAAAATTAATTATAAAAGCGCTTGAGTTTAAATTTTAAAAAGTCAAGGATAAATCAACCTGTCCAGAGTAAAGTAAAGCTAAATGATCAAAACAAATCACATAAATGCCCTTTTAACTGGGAATATTTGAAATGGTGTGGACTTGACAGAAAATAACCTCTTGACCTGTGTTCACATAATATTGATAGGAAATAGATAAAAAAAAAGTTTTGTTTTCATTAGCCATCTTGATAAATTTTGTCTTCACAGAGAAATATGTATTATATACTGCAAGTACACCTAATGCAAGTTGCATTTATCTTTATCAGGACGCAGATGAATAAACTCACAAAGAAGTGTTTATTACTATGCTGAATCGAATTCAAACCTTAGCAACAGTTCACTTCATTTACAAGGTATATATAGGCATTAAAGTAAACTTGTGATTGATTTTTAATTAAAAAATGTGTTGAATGCATATGATTTGTCTTAATAAGCATCAGATGTTGGGTAAATAGGTCCCTCTCAACATAACAGTCTGGAAACTAAAAATGGAGAAATATTTAAGATTCTTCATTATTTCTTTGAAACCAAAGTATTGATTGTAGCTATTTTCATCAAATACCACCTTGTACCACATAGCAAAATGCTTAGTGTATAGAAAAGATTTGATAAATATTTCATAAATATTTGTTGGATAAATTAATAAATGAATAAATAGATTTTTTAGCAGCAGCATGTCGAGTTTTTGTTTTTCAGCTACGTAAACAGACAGTTCCCACAAAAAATTGACCATTCTGAGTATTGATCTCTATCAAAGTTGAAAAGGCCAGTTTTTAATTTTCATATTATATGTGTTAGTACATCTATACATGTCAAAAAATAAAAATGTCAGTGGAATTTCTAAATGTGTTTTAAAACTTAAGTTGTTGTATAAACCTTTAAAATATAGAGAAGTTTTGATAAAAGAGAGTAGGAATCATACAATATTAGGAAGGGACATAGAAATCATCTGGCCCAACTACGTAGATGCATTTTGTCAGTAGTCTTGATATAAGAAATGTAATCTGTTCTTGAATGCTTCCAGTTAAAAGGAATATGCTAGATCCTTACAGCAGCTTGTTACAGCTATGTTGTTACTTGCTATCAAGTTGACTCCAAACCATGGCAACCTTATATATAGTAGAAAAAAATGTTGCTCATTCATGTACCATCTTCACAATCTTTGGTATGCTTGAGTCCATTGTTGCAGCCACTGTGTATTTTGAGTGCCTTCCAATCTAGGGGACTCATCTGCCAGCACTGTATAGAACAATATTCTGTTGTGATCCACAGGTTTTCATTGGCTTATTTTCTGAAGTAGATAACCAGGCCTTTCTTCCTAGTCTGTCTTAGCCTGAAAGTATTACTGAAACCTATCTACTATGGATGACGCTGCTGGTATTTCAAATACTGGTGGTATAGCTTCCAGCATCATAGCAACACACAAGCCACTACAGTATGAAAAACTGATAGATAGGTGGTGGATTCTACTTATGGAAGGACCTAATTTTATAAACCCCCAAATGTACCTTCTCATAAGTTCCATTCATTTTTTTCTAGTTCTGCCCTCTGAGACACTATGGAATATATTAGTACAACTTATTAACATGAAGAAATTGTTGATTTTAAAGTAGGTTGTTTTTTGTTTTGTCTTGCTTTTCCAAGTAAATACATACCCTAGAGAAAGGCTAACAAGTATGGAGTGGCAATGCAGTGTAGGTAAAAGAACTTTGGCATAGGATCCTCTGTACAAAGCTACTTCTAAATCATTATCTTGGGTGTGGTGT